TGACATACAACAGCGATGGGCTGAGGAGGCGGTGATAATTGGCCGTTTAGGGAGAGAGCCCAATTTCACCGAGTTGACGGAATTCATCCGAAATCGTGCCAAGGTTGCTAGCAGCCGTTTCGGACAACTGGCCAGTATGAGCAGGCGAGAAGAGAGACATCACGTTAAGGAACGAACCTATGAGATCCCGAAAGGTTCTAGAAACGCGAATAGCTATGCAACCGTGGGGGAACGTAGTACACCCAGATGCCCTATGTGTTGTTCGAACCACGAGTTATCTAAGTGCGATAAGTTTGTGCAACTGGGAGTTCCAGACCGTTGGGAAGCAGCCAAGAAGCATGGTGCGTGTTTTATCTGTTTGAACTGCTCACATCGTGCGGCCGCTTGTAGGAACCGTGGCAGGTGTAATGAAAAGGGGTGTCAAGGAAACCACCATACCCTCCTGCACTCTGTAAGAGAAACTCAGTTACCGGCACTCCAAAAACCCAGCGTGTGTCTACTGTCTCAATCGGCGGGAAAACAAGTACGACTTGGAGTAACGCCAGTTGGTATACTAACGCCCAGCGGGGTGGTGAAGGCGATGGCGTTCATTGACAACGGATCCGACACCACGTTGATCACCAAACGTTTTGCCGTACAAAACAGCATCGCGACCCGGCCATCTTCACTGACGATCAGCACAGTGAATGGCACCAAGGCGACCTCTGCCGACCAAGCGAAAGTGACGTTGGTTTCACTAGACAATGGTGAACGAGTGGATGTCACGGAAGCCTTCACCATCGCCGACCTGCCAATGCGAGCAGTAGAATCTATTGGGGAGTTAGCAACGCGCTGGCCGCACCTGCGAGATCTACGTTTTGAAGAAGCTGACTCTTGCGAAGTCAATTAGCCAATAGGATGAGACGTGTGACAATAAATTTCACCACCACCACCACTGGCAACGATACGATCGACCAAGCCCTCCAGAGGATGTATAATACCGAGTTCGAAGATATGGGGGATCAGAAAGAGAGGCTCTCCGTAGAAGATCATCAGGCGCTGGCAATAGTTGAAACAGGGACACGTGGTCAGCTAGATCAGTTCGAGGTGCCGTTACTATGGAGGACGGGATGCGACCGACTGCCGAACAATCACGGGATAGCCCTGAAAAGGTTGGAATATCTGAGAAGGCGACTGATCCGAGACACGGAGTTCTGTCGACAATACGCCGCGGCCATGCAGCGGAACGTAGAGCTAGGATACATAGAACGAGTGGATGTCTCACAACCACAAGAGCGAAGGCTGTGGTACTTGCCGCCCCACTCAGTAACAAACCCCCAAAAGCCATGGAAGATACGAGTAGTATTCGACTGCGCGGCGCGATACGGTGGTGTCTCCCTTAATGATTGTCTGTTGCAGGGCCCAGACTGGACAACCCCCCTGATTGACGTACTCAGCCGGTTTCGGTTAGGAGCAGTTGCAGTGGCAGCGGACATACAAGAAAGGTTCCTCCAGATTCATATCAGTTTAATTCAGTTTGCACAGGACAGTAGTGGTCGAGACCACTCGTTCGTCCAGATCGTTGTGTTGTCAGCTGGTCTCCTTGGCTCCCAACACTGCTCGTTAAAGGTTCGTTCAGCTTTTTTCAAAAAGGCAGAATATTCAGTGCAGTATCTCATTCACTAGATATGTGGAAATGAAATACATTAACACAGGAACGACTCACCTTGTTCCGTTATTGTCCCTCAAATGGCCAGCTCCG